CTTTTTTTTTCTTTTTTTTCTTTTTTTTTTCTTTTTTATTTCTTTTTTTCTTTTTATTCTTTTTCTTTTCTCTTTCTTTCTCTCTCTTTCTCTCCCCCCATGATATCTGCTCGTGCAGGTCAGCTGCTTCTTAGGGCCCCCCAGCCTGGGGGGCCCCCCACCATCCTCCCCCGCCGCCTTTTTGCTGTATTACAGGACCCTTGTATTTCTCCGTACCCTCAATCATCAGAATCTCAGGGGGGCCCCCGTCAGCAGGCAGCAGCAGGGGGTACAGGGGGGCCCCCCGAGGGGCCCCCATCGATGGCTGCACAGGGGGGAGCTGCAGGCTCTGCAGCAGCAGCAGCTGCTGCTGCTGCTGCGTACCCACCAGGGGCCCCCAAACCCCCCTTCGAGGGCCCCATGGGGGCCCCCCTAACCTCTCCTTATGATATTAACCAGCAGCAACCCCCTTATTCTACTTTTGCTGCTGCAGATACACCCCACGGCTCTTACGGGGATGCTTCAACTGCAGCAGCAGCAGCAGCAGCAGCAGCAGGTACAGCTGAGGGCCCTTATGGTGCTCCCCCTCTAGGGGGCCCCTTTGGGGGCCCCTATGGGGCCCCCCCTCCCTTCGGCTACACTGCATCTGCTTCTGCTTTCCCTGCGTACCCTATGGGGGCCCCCCCATACATTGCAGCTCCTCTGCAAGGAATAGGGTACTACCCTCCCCCCCCAGCAATGGGGGCCCCCCCATACAGTATGGGGCCCCCAGGGTATGGTGCTGCAGCACCAGCTGCATCTGCTGCTGCACCAGCCTGGGTACCTACATCACCGCAGACAGCATCATGGGGCCCCCCCCCTCGTGGGGGCCCCCAATCGAGTGTCCGTGGCAGTGTACCCTCCTCAACAGACGTTGTAAAGGCCGCGGCAATGGGCCCCCACGGGGCCCCCCAGGGGCCCCCCCCCCTGGGGGCCCCCCCCCAGGGGGGCCCCCAGGGGGGCCCCCAGACNGGGCCCCCCAGGGGCCCCCCCCCCTGGGGGCCCCCCCCCAGGGGGGCCCCCAGGGGGGCCCCCAGACAGCGCGAGAAAGACAGAGACAGTTTCTCAGCTCTGCTGTGCTGGCCGAAATAGATAAACTAGAAAGCCTAGGGTCTTATAGTTTATTTATAAAGGGCCTAAATGAAGGGAGACAGATGGGGAGGATGGGTTGTAAGGAATGGCTGTATATAACGAATATAATAGTAGAGTTAATAAAGAGAGAAAAGAGAGAAGAAATAAACTACGATATGTTGCTGCAGCAACAGCTTATATTGCTGCAGCAGCTACTTAAACTTTTATATAAAAGTAAATATAATTTTTTTCTTATACATGATATAGCTCTCCTAGCAGCAAATACAGCCCGCATGCATGCAGCCTTTTGCATGCATATACTGGGTAAGGGTAGCCTCCCCCACACCCAGCGTGTGTTTTCTTCTCCTTCTCCTTCTCTAATAAAAACAATAAACCAAGCCGCAGCAGCAGCAGCACCAGCAGCAGCAGCAGCAGCAGCAGCAGCAGATGGGGGGCCCCCACTGTCTCTTGGGGTCTATAGAAATATATGTGACTCTATTCTCTCGGAGTTTGTTTTTCTTTGTGCAAAAAAAATAAACTCCTTTCCCCCGTCTACACAGCCCTCACACGTGCGTGCTTTGCCTACGCTGCTGCGTGCTGCTTCGGTGCAGCTGCTGCCGCGCGACAGCAGCAGCAGCAGCAGCAGCAGCAGCAGCAGCAG